ATGCAGAGACATGCACAAGGACGTCCACTTGTGCTTCATCGACTTCTCCAAGGCGTTTGACAAGGTCAAACATGATAAACTCATGGAAATGCTCAGGAAGATGCATATTGATGGCAAGGATCTGCGCATAATAACCAGTCTCTATTGGAACCAAAGTTCTGAGATAATGATGGGCAACAGAGTGGGAAGATAGATATTAAAAAGGGTGTACGACAGGGATGCGTCTTCTCGCCGCTCCTGTTCAATATATACTCTGAACAAATCTTCAGAGAAGCACTGGGAGAAGTTTCGGAGGGTATCAAAGTAAATGGAGAGGTAATCAATAATATTAGATATACTGACGACACAGTTATTATCGCAAATGACTACAACGAGATTCAAAGACTCATGCAAATCATACACACAACAAGTAAAGAATATGGTTTAGAACTGAATACAAATAAAACTAAATGCATGCTCATCAGCAGAACACAACAACCTCCGATGCAATTGACATTAAACAACCGAAAAATAGAACAAGTGGAGACATACACATACCTTGGAACCACAGTCAACACAAAATGGGACCAGTCAACAGAAATAAGATCACGAATTGAAAAAGCGCGAAACGCGTTCAACAATATGAAAAAGTGGTTCACAAGCAAAATCTCAATGGAACTAAAATTAAGACTGGTCAAATGTTATGTCTTCCCGGTCTTGTTCTATGGAGCAGAGGCATGGACCACAACGGAAGCCACCCTGAAGAAACTAGAATCCTTTGAGCTGTGGATATATCGCCGTATTCTTCGGATATCCTGGACAGACCACATCACTAACGTGGAAGTAATGCAGAGAATAGGCAAAAGCAAAGAAATAATCTTCACCGTAAAGAAACGAAAGCTTGAGTACTTCGGACATGTCATTAGGCATACTAAGTACCGGCTGCTACAGTTAATAGTCCAAGGAAGAATCGACAGTAAGAGGGGACCGGGAAGAAGACGACACTCATGGATGCATAACCTGCGACAATGGTTCGGACTAACATCGACCGAACTGTTCAGAGGTGCCGTAAACAAAGTCAAAATAGCCTTGTTAATAGCCAACGTCCGAAACGGATAGGGCAAATGAAGAAGGAGATTTGATCTACAATCACCTTAGTATTTGAAAATGAAAAAACCTGCGTTTTTGCATAACTACCATCTAAAAAAAGTACAAATAGTCTTCGTTCTTCATATATGTACTATAATCTTATAGAAATATCTAATAAAAAATTAGGAGGTCTCAAAAATGTACTATCAGTAATCACCTCTTATTGGCATAAAATAAATACATACCATTTCATATTTCTTTGGGTGCACTCACGCTTTAGTTATTTCGAGAAAATCTTTCTATTTCCGTCAGCGGAAGTAGGAAGTATAATATTACTTACAATATTAATTTTAAAAAATTTCAAATTCTATTTCGCTATAATATCGCAAGTTTACATTTATACTTGGAAGTCATACTTCATTATCTATAAAAAGATTTTTATGTAATATTTGATTATATTATTCTATAATTTAATCAAGTTTAACTTAAGAATACAAGACCTACACATGTAGTCACCTAAAACTTTATCATTAATAGCTTTTTAAATGATTTTCAATAATTTCGGTCGTAAAATTATTTCGTCGATCATTTAATAGTATATTGCTTTATGAGGCGGAGAAGACATGACTTCTCTTGATGCGCCCGATATTACGCGCCGAACGAAGTGAGTCAAGAAAAGTCGCTTTTTTTTACTATTTTTTCTTCAAACGTAGCAATTTTCAACCATAAATAGTACAATTCATAAGCTATTTTTACTCGAAATTAACTGTATGGTAACTTCCATGGTAAATAACAAAGGAATATAATAACACGCTACCTTTCCTGGATGTTTTAATCTCTAAGAACGATACTGGATATGAGACTCAGGTGTATAGAAAACCAACACACATTAATAGATATTTAAATTTTAAATCAAATCACAATATTAATGTAAAAAAAGGAATAATTAAATCCTTATACGATAGAGCCAAAATTACTTGTTCTAACGAAAATTCGTTCTTGGAGGAGAAACATTTGTTAACATCTATTTTATTAAAAAATGATTATCCTTTATCGTTTATAAATAAGGAATTTTCAACAATCGATCGAATAGAACAGAACAACTTAGAACGAGATCCTACAGCATACACAAGGAATAATATGAGGAAAATAACAATATCGTACAGAAAAGGATTATCAGAAAAACTTAAGGATAGGAAATAAATTCAACATTTCAACAACATTCAAAACAACAAACACGTTGAGATCTATTTTGTCCAAAACCAAACCTAACAATGAACAAGAAAGGACAAAGAATTGCATTTATAAAATACCTTGTGAATGCGATCAGTTTTATTTACGTGAATCATCAAGGCCATTAAATGTTAGAATAAGTGAACATCAATTTTATATTAAAAATAGAGAATTTGATAGATCTCAAATATGTAAACACGCATGGGATAATGAACATAGGGTTCAATGGAATAATTCAAATGTAGTCCTAAAAGAAACGGATGGTAAAAAAAGAAAAATCAAAGAAGCGGCTCTAATTATGCTAAATGAGGCCAATTGTGTCGCAAATTCCTCGGCAGAATGTAGTAGGATCTGGTTACCAATATTGAAAGAGGAAGTTATTAATAAGAAAATACCAGTATTAGTAAGTCAGTAACATATAGAGGATACATCATTTATGTTTTTTAAATAAAGTAACATATAAAATCAGAATTTTGATGTTTGTTGAAGGTAAACTAAATTCACGAACAAATACTTACAATGTCGTGATAGTATTACGAGGTTTTTTCCTGGTTTTTCCCTCATAATTTACTATGGAATCACTAACAGGAGAATTTTAATGTCATCATGTCATGTGTTTGTCTTTTTAAAGACGAATTACATGCTATGATTTTTTTCTGACGGATATTCTCAAGTTAAAGTTGATTTCATGTAATCGAATGAACTATCTTATAAGTAAAGTCGTCCCAGGAGCGCAACTCAACAATATTGGCAATATCATTTTAAAGTCGTCTACTTTAAAATGCATAATGTATGTCTGAATTGTCAATATAAATGAGTCAGATAAAATTAAATTATTAGAAGAATTTTTCACTACGTAACAAAAAACAAAATTTGTTTAATTTACTGTTTGTATTTTGAGAACGATTTCCGAAGTGGAAATTGAAACGTCAATAAACGTATTTTTATCTTTAATTGCGGCTTATTCCCAGTTAAATAGTAATTAATTTACAATGCCACAAGAAAATAGCTTCAGAACAATATTAAAAAACAATTTATTACCACCAATTTATACTCCACCTAAGACTTTCTTCTTCAAGGTAATAGAAACATATTGTATGGATTTAAACCTTCCAGGAAGTATGGTTAACAAAATAATTACAGATAAGTGGCCTGCATTTCAATATATTTTTATTGACGGCTCTAAAATTCAAAATCAAACGGTGTGCAATATATCACTAAAATTCTGATTACAAAGAATTGCCCAATAAAGCCCAAAATATTGCCCAATAAAGCTTCAATTTATACTGCCAAACTATCAGCTTTATTACTTGCGGTAAAATATATAGCCTCTATTGGTATGGATAATTATATCCTAACCGATTGTAGAAGTATTCTACAAACTCGCTTCTATCAAAGCCACAAAAAACCTAAACCATATTGAGATATAAATAAAGAGTTTACATTATGATATTACTTCCGCAGGTAGCTCGATTATTGTTTGTTGGGTAAAAGGACACTCTGGAATATTAGGAAATGAAGCAAAAATTGTAACTATCACAAATGCTCTAGCTAATTGGCTATGCCAAAGCCATTATTAAATAAAAACAATAAATTTCACATTACAAACGATCTAAAATGTTAAAAAATGCTCTTTTTGAATTACACTAGTACGTTTTTTAAAAGTACTTCTGCTATAAATTACACCCAAAACTGTCTTCTAGGATACATTTCCCGTAACGAGCGATGGTTTGTAATGTAAAAGTTTAAATTCTGCGTTTTTTGGTCATATTTAAAATGCCTCATATTTGTTTCCATAACTTAAAATATAACTTTCATGTTATAGGTTTTAAAAATTGATTTCTATAAATTAAAATTTCTTTATGATCGTTGAATCAAAGTGATCATTTCATTGATCTCAGGAGAATTGCAAAAAATGTCAAAAATCGCTAAACGTTTATTTATTGAACAGATTTATAGAAACCACTTGCGGCAATATACAAAAATATTGCAAAAAATCTGCACTCTTTACCTTTGAAACGCATTTTGATTTCTGTCGATAGCATATTTAAATCAAAAGATATTGAATTTTAACCGTCGAGCTGATACAAATTTTATTTAACATTGATTTTGCGCGAGTAATCACATTAAAAATTGCCGGTCGCTTCAAGCGTTGTTTCTGAGAGAACGGTTTATTCTACAGAAAAAGTGCTAATAAACATTTTTGTTCAAAATTATCTTAGCTACATTTTTTATTAAAAACATTTTTTCTATGAGATACAGTTCTTGTTAAATCAATTTTTTTGAATTTTTACCCCATCACAGGGGGTGTTTCAGGGGGAAACTCGGGGGTAAAAGTGGTTAACTTGTTTGTGGTAATCTATTTTAAGGTTCCAAAATTAATATTCTCATCAAAATTTAGCTTGGTTGTATGAATTTTAGGGGTAAAATCTCTGACGACTTAACTACATTCTTATGTAAACAAATAACTTTCAAGAAACGCGGAAAATCAGACAAAAATAAGGGTTACCAAACAATTTTATTCTATTGATGTTAAGGTTTATTTAACAAAAAATATAAACAATATAATTTATTACGATACTAAATTTTTCGTCGAGTTGATACACCCACAAGCTCTCTATTTTCAGAAAATCCGTCTATTTTCATTTTATGCGATGACTAATTGCCATAAAAACAAAATATGTTAATATTATAAGGATCTTGGAAATCAAACCACCTCGCGAAAACGGTGTCATAACGTTACATACTCAGTTGGCTTTGGACCAATATGTTCTAATCACCTCCAAATTTTGTACAATTGGTGCAAAACTGACGCTTAGCATCCTGAAACAGTTTGCAGTTGTTGGTCTGTGATTACTTGAGTGTCATCTTACTTCTCCTGGTAAGTACCTATAAGTTTTTTTGTAATAAAGGAAACCAAATCAGTTTAAAAGATTAGTCATATGTAAAAAAGAGGACAGTTAAAATACAAAAAATATAATTGAAGGCTTTGTTTTGAAATATATGTCACATACATTTTTTTATTTTTAGCATTTGTTGTATTTTATACAATTTATTTGATTGACTTATATCCTGGTTTTATTATTATGACTTTAAAAATTTATGTAAAATATTTTGGTACTGATATCCTTTGGCTGTCATAAATTTTATTATTTTCTTCTTTGTATGTAGATGTATATAATTTTTTTCCTAATGAAACTATAAATTTTCTTAGTTTGTTATATTTTTAGATTGTTTCTTTAATTTCCAATGATTTAAATTGATTTAAAAATACGTACGTTTAAGTCTTACGCTTAAACAATTAACTTTCCATAATATTATCTATTATTTCATTCATTTCATCAAATGTTATCAGAAAACCAACACACTTAATCTGTTTTAAGTTGCTATTAGCTATATTAAGCTTAGGTAATGATCTTCTAATGCTTCTTATTGATCTTCTATTGGTCAGCTTCTGCTAATGCTTCTCTAAACTTTTCCGGGTGTTTTGGAATAAATTTTTGTCTTTTATTTGTGATTGTTTTATGACAGAACCACAGTTTGCAGCTGGTTATGTTTTCACGTTGATTATTCAGCTCCTCCATCATTTAATGGGAAGAATATAATCTATTTGGTTCTTATATCGTCCTCTAGGCGAAGACCATATTAATAATCTCCGCGGATGATGTCTAAACATTGTGTTTACTATAATAAGATCCATAGCGATGGCAAATTGAATCGTTTACCTCGTTCATTTCTCTGGCCTAAGCCATGCTCACCTATCGTTCCTTTCAAATGGTCATCTATTTTAGTTTTTCCTTTTTTTGCATTCCAATCTCATATTTGCATTAAAGACATTAAAGACAATTTTATGAAGAACGAAGAAGGTAAGAATAAGACATGGATGACGACAGAGATTCTGCACTAATGGAAGAAAGAAGGAAAAACAAGAACGATAACTCCATGTATAAAACATTACAGCGAGAGATACAGAGAAAGATCAGAGAAGCCAAACAGAAAGAACTGGAGAAAAAATGCCAAGAAATCGAAATTCTCCAAAGTGAATACGACGACTTCAACGTGCATGAGAAGGTAAGAGAAATTACAGGTAAATGTAAAAACAGAAGAATAAGTAAACTTGTTAATGACAATGGAGAGATAATCGTGGACAAAGAAAGTATCAATGATACCTGGAAAAATTACATAAGAAATTTATTTTTTTTATGAGAGAGAGAACCAGCCCCCAATACCTACGGAAACAGGACCACCTATACTAGTGGCAGAAATAAGAGCAGCCATAATATCACTAAAAGAAGGTAGAGCTCCAGGACCAGACGGAGTACAATCTGAATTTCTTAAACTTCTTGATGATGAATCTTTAAGAGTACTATGTAAAATCTTCAATAATATCTATGACACAGGCAATATCCCAAAAGATTGGCTACTTTCAGAATTTATTACCTTACCAAAGAAACAGGGAGCAAAAAAGTGCGGAGAATATAGGCTAATAAGTCTAATGAGCCATACATTAAAACTTTTTCTTAAAATTATACATCGTAGAATATACAAGCTATGCGAAGAGAGAATACAAGACACACAGTTTGGATTCATGAAAGGCGTAGGTACAAGAGATGCACTGTTTAGTCTACAAGTATTATTTCAAAGATGCAGAGATATGACTTGCGATATTTACACCTGCTTTGTGGACTACCAAAAAGCATTTGATACAGTTCAACACCAAAAAATGATGGATATTCTAACAAAAGCCCAAATGGATGATAAAGATCGGCGTATAATACAAAATTTATACTGGAACCAATCAGCCACAATAAGAACGAATTTTGGAGGTGAACCAACGGAAATGATCCAGATTCTACGAGGCGTTAGACAAGGTTGTATACTTTCACCTATAATATTTAATCTATATTCAGAGGAAATATTTAGTGAAGCCTTGGAAAAATGCGAACATGGAATACTTCTAAATGGAGAACGCCTAAACAACATCCGTTATGCAGACGACACCGTTATTTTTGCAGACAGTTTGAACAGTTTACAGCAACTAATAAACAAAGTAAATGAAGTAAGTGAAAGATTTGGACTTCAAGTAAATATAACAAAAACTAAATTTATGATCATCAGCAAAAATAAAGTTAGAGACGCTCAACTACTTATCAATAATACACCAGTGGACCGAGTAAAACAGTATAACTATCTTGGAACAACAGTAAATGAACAATGGGATCACTCACAGGAAATAAAATGTAGAATAGAGAAGGCTAGGAGTGCATTCAATAACATGGCCAAACTCTTTAAAAGCCACAATCTTAATCTGGAGATAAAAGTAAGGCTCCTACGATGTTATATCTTCTCAATATTGTATTACGGAGTTGAATCCTGGACACTAACTGAAGCAATGGAGAAAAAACTTGAAGCCTTCGAGATGTGGCTATACAGGCGAATTCTAAGGATATCATGGACAGACAAGATAACCAACGAGACCGTATTACGAAGAGTGGGCAAAGAAAGAGAGGTGATGTATACCATTAAAAGGAGAAAGTTGGAATATCTCGGACATATAATGAGAAACAGCACTAAATACAGATTACTGAAGGTAATCCTACAGGGTAAAGTATTCGGAAAGCGAGGAATTGGGAGAAGGAGAATATCATGGTTGAAGAACCTGAGGAAATGGTTCTCCACAACAACAACGAATCTATTTAAAGCATCAGTCAATAAAATAATTATAGCCAGAATGATTGCCAATATTCGGAACGAATAGGCACTGAAAGAAGAAGAAGAATCTCGTATCATCGTCATTGGTTCATTTTTGAAAATGTTAGAGATGGTTTCATATATCAGAAGGTATGTTTCTTGTACGGTATCTTCTATCCTTATATTATAAAGAGAAGTAAATACTATTTGGGTCTTCTAATTATAAGACCGTTTTTTAATTATAAGACCGAAGTATTCCGTTTTTTTTCTCTTTATGATGTTTGACAGCAAGCGTTCTAAATTCATCATTTTAAGAACATCTTCATTGGAAGTATGCAAAACCCATGATATTTTTAGGATTCTTCAATAACATCACAATTTGGATGATTTTAATGTGTTTAGCATTGTGGTTTCTATTGTTCATGTCTAACAACCATATAATAGGATAGACCACACATCACATTTCAGGACCTTCTTGTGCATATGTATCAACAGGTTTCTGGTACACAAAACCCTTACTTGATATCTTGACCCTGGTTATTATCTCTTCCTCAGAGATGATTTACGCGTATCTCCTCTCCATTAAACAAAAACAAACTTTGATCTATATTTATGTATTTATGTTTCCAATCACCATTCACGCTCTTTGAAATATTAATTTTAAGGCCCCTCCGATAACTTGCTTCACTGACTAGATTTACCAATGTACGCAGATCTTTTGCAAATTTTTTTTTCTTTGCAAATTCTTTTGCAAATAGTTCTTCACAAGATAGATTAAAAGAATGGGTGACAAAACGCAATGGGTACTCCACGTTTAATGGAAAACGTTTTTAGTACAACTATCTCCAAATTGTATTAAGGCTACTTGATTGTAATATAAGTATTTAAGCAGTCCTATATCATAGTGGTCAAGTCCTGTTGCACGCAAGCAATCAAAAAGTGTTTAACTCGGTCAAATGCCTTCTCAAATTCGACGAAACAAACATGAACTTTCTTTTGGGAACTTCTTGATTATTCTAATTTGGCACAGAATAAATACTCTTCTTAAGTAAGGAAAGTATCTTAAGTTGGAGCTGAATCAAACTGATTAGTCTAAAATCGCTGCAGTTGGTGGGCCAGCTTTTCTCTAGTAATTTTATAAACAGTGACTCCAACCAATCATCTTGTATTATTCCTTCATTGTTAATGTTTTTAAAGTGTTAGGTAGTGTTAAAATGTTAAGTAGGTAATGTTTTCTTCGTCCAAAAGTTTAAGTTGCTCAGTTGAAAATTGATCTGGTCCAAGTGCTTTATTATTTTTGGCTTGCTAAAAATAAACAATCAACTAGTGTCAATATGTGACTAAAATTTTGTACGTCGTAATTTTGTTATCTTCGTCGATTTTAAAGTTTTTTATGACGTGAAAAGTTTAGTCCAATTTAGAAATTATATTATGCATTAACATATCTACGAATACTGCTTTTAAATAGAATAAAATCGATGCTAATCTTTAAATTGATTGGTTTCCTTGTAATCAATTTCATTACCATCTTCATACAATATATACACAGTAAAATATTTGCAGAAGATGCTAAAATTAAGATACGATCCCGTCCACGGGTACGACTATTCATACGAAAATACCTATATCCCGGACTACAGAATCCATCGAGCGTATGATTACTATTTTGATTGGCCATGGAGATATCGCGTGTGGCTACCAAACAGACCTTACAGGCGATTTTTGCATAAGGAGCTTCGCGGAGTAAGTTTTTTGTTCTTTTTTCTGCGATATCGACACATTTAACCATCAAATAAAAAAATTGACAAAATTCTATATATTGCATTCATAAATCCTGTGTTAATCGTGTCCTAATAGTCAGATTGTATTTTAAGCACAGATTAATGATGTGTTCTAAATTTGATCATTCAAATAACAGAGAATCTGGCATAAATAATAGTCAGTCTAGTAGAAGGGTATCTTTCTGTATGCATGGAAGGGTAAATAGTTAATAACTATGCTGAATACGAATATGTAAGTCACCCACTTTTATAAACACAACAACATTTTATAAATAAATTTTTAAATTTGATCTAATGTAATTTTATTTGATGATGATTGATTGGTAAAAATAAAGAAAGTTTAACCTATTTCGATACTTAATTATTTAAACAAATGGACGAAACATTCTTTTTATTGAGTTAACAAGCAATACTATAAAGAGATATAGAAAGACCTATTAAAAGAACAACTTACCCAAAAATTAGACAGTGATGATAAAGATGTAGACGAAATAGACAACATACTTACAGCAACGATGATTACATCAGGAAAAGAAATAGCAAAAAAGGATCTAAAAGAGAACAACTATATATCAACAGAAACAAAGAAGCTTATGGATAAAAGAAGGAAGCTGAACGAAGAAGGCAAAAGGAAATCTGTAGAACATGTAGAAATCAATAAAACAATAAGCAGAATGATAAAAGAAAATAAGAGAAAAGAACAAGAAATAAAAATAGAAGATGTGATAGAGAACAACAAAAATATACAATGCTTACGACCGAAAGAAATGATAAACAACAAATGCTGGCCTGGAAAAGATGGAATAATAGCAGAGATGCTGAAATATGGTGGAAAAGTGGTAATTAATACTCTACATTCCCTTTTTAAGAAGATATTAAAAAAAACAGAATCCCAAACAACTGGACGGAATCCTTAACCATTATCCTACACAAGAAAGGTGATAAAGCAGGATAAAGCAGATATAAAAAACTACCGTTCTATAACACTCCTCAATGTAATGTATAAACTTCTAAAAAAAATTTTAACCAATAGATTGACGACAAAATTCGACGAATACCACTCGAAAGAACAAGCTGGCTTTAGAAAGGGATTGAAAGTATGAAAATACTACTTATAGAATGAGCAAATGAATACCACATTCCTCTATATATATAGCGTTCATAGATTTTGAAAAGGCTTTCGACAGTGTCGAACATTAGGCAGTGAAAAGTTCTTTGATTAACAACAGAATTGACCACATATATACGGAACTAATAGCCAATATGGAAGCCAAGACAACAATTAAAGTATATGAAGGAACAAAATCAATACAAATAAACAGAAGCGTGAGACAGGGTGACACAATATTACCAAAACTGAGATATTTTTTAAAGCAAGCTCTGGAAGATATTTTTTAAAGATTAGAATGGGAAGAAAAAGGTATAAAAATTTGCGGACAACGCTTGAACCATCTAAGGTATGCTGTTGACATCGTATTAATAACCGATGAAAAAGAAGAATTGTTTGAAATTATGAAAGAACTGGAGTAGAAGCTAGAAAGATAGGCCTTAATATAAATTACAGCAAGACCAAAATCATAATAAATACAGATGAAGACATCCCAATGAGGATAGGACAAGATAAAATAGAACAAGTTCAGGATTATATATATCTGGGTCAAACTATAAAACTTAACAAAGAAAACCAAACAGCAAAAATAAAAGAGACGAGTTAGACTGGCATGAGCGGCATTTGGAAAACTAAACTATATTCTTAAAACAAAAGATATCCACAGCATCTTAAGAGCAAAGTATACAATCAATCCGTTCTCATTTATGGTTCCAAAGGGAGGGACATTTACAAAAGCAAACATGGACAAAATCATAAAAACCTAAAAAGCAATAGAAAGACAAATGTTGCACATAAGACTAATGGATAAAAAGAGAAACGAGTGGATAAGAGAGAAAACAAAAGTGAATGATGGTAGACAAGAAGTTGTAAAATTGAAATGGAGATTTGCCGGGCACAATATAAGACAAAAAGAAGACCGATGGAAATAAAATTCTTATAAGTTAGAGACCATGGGAATATAAACGAAGCAAAGAAAGTACCTAAAGGAGATGGGCAGATAATATCAAGAAGCACGTGAGCTCTAGATGGATGACTATAGCGACAGACAGAGAAGAATGGAAAAGGATTGGGGAGGTCTATGTCCAAAGATGAATAAAGAAGGCTAATTAGATAGGTAGATAGAACAAGCAATAAATAAATAGCTTTTTGTCCCTGCAGAGTCACAAGCACACAGCGGGCTAGTAATTGTTGATATGAAACAGTAGCTATTTTAAAATTTCAATGACTGTTCGATGCAGGCAAATATTGACAACACGTACTATACAATCGAGACCAAGGCTCGATTTGGGCTATAGTGCTATTGGAGAGACTTAGTTTAAAAATAGTTTAAAAATAAACACTGAAACGGAAAACTGACGGAAAGTATTGAACTTTAGACATTTACTTTTATATGCAGGCGTATGAATCTCTGTTTAGAGAAAGGGGAAAAACAAACGTACCGCTTTTAATATTATTATACATTTGATCTGAATATTACAATTAAAGTCTCGTTGAATAATAATCAGACATATAATTTCAACAAATTTTTGACAAATTTATTATTGTTATATATAGCAGCATCTAATACAAAGATAAATAAATTCATGAATTGTTTCGATATCGCAGAGTTTTTTATATAATCTGGCCCAAAATTATTTCCAGTAATTCCTTTTTTATTTTTTTTTAGGTACGAGATATCGTCTACATGGCCTAATTTTAATATGATAATGTGCTTGAATGCGACGCATTTTTTTGTAAATAATTGAACACGTTTTAATATTTTTAATCTTAATATTAATATTGTACTGATTTTTATAGCTTATTTTACAACTAATTAATAAATTGGTTTTACAAAATTACTCGTATTTTTAGCTCCTTTTCACTCTTTTTTTATCATACTGGTAGCCCATGACAACCCAAAGAACTATTGTACAATTTGTAATCCTATTTATAATACAACTACTTAGATTTAAAAATTATCTTCTCAAATTATTATCACAAAAACTAAAACACTACATATGTACACATGCATAATGTTACATTAACGAAAAATTTAAAGACTTGCTTTAACTGTAAAGACCATTGGTAAAAACTTGATTATCCTTTGTTTCTCATATTTTTAATTTCTTAAGAGACTTACAATTTTCATTTAGCAAAAATACAAACTTTATTGTTCAAATATGTTGGAGATGAGAAAATAACAAAGATATAGGGTAAATATAGGAGAATCTTTGTTATTTTGTAATTAAAATAAGTCTGAAGTAAACAGAAAAGCTCCACAAATTAAGTTTTTTTTTGAATAGCTACTTTAAAAAAATTACTACGTAAATAGAATTATCTTGTGAATAATGTTATTACTCGCACTTTTTTTGCCATTATAGATTGTTGTATCTTCAACAGACTTACCCTTGTGAGGATTGTACTATAAAATTAGTAGAATTACCTAACATTTGACATTATAATATTTGATTTTCTTTTTCTTTTCCATGTCTCTTCTTATTTTTTATGTTCATTTTATGTTAGTTTGACAAAGAAAGTGTTTATGTTTATGCAAACCTTCATTGCCAATTTTGACATAATATGTAAAAATGTTTTGTTTGCACTTATTAAACTAGAAACAGAGTTTATGTTAATAAGTACTTAAGAAGGAAAAAACGAAACACAAATTAAAAATAAATTTTATCTTATTTGAACATGGAATAATCCCTTTAATCTGTGTAAATTTTAAATAACTTTTATATAGTTGTTGTTCTTTTCTTTAAATGAAGATTACTGTATATAGCACTACGATTCTCAATGTCTTCTCTTGTCTTGTTTAAGATGTTTTGTTTAGTTTTAATTAAACGCACTTCCCTTCTTAATATTTCTGCTTGATCATAGTTAGGCGTGTGGCCTATCGTAATAGAATGTTCACTTAATGCACAGGCTTGTACTTTATTCAGATTAATGTCACTTTTATGCGATGTTAATCTTCTTGAAAAATTTCTGGACGTTTCTCCAATATATATTCTATTGCAATTATTACAGAGTACACTACATTGGAGCTTCCTTTAAATATTATATAATATAAGAAAACTGCATCCAAATACACAATACATCAAACTTCTAGAATATCTGCACTTTTCTTGCGACCAAACATGAATTAATTGTAAATGTCGTCCCGGCTATACGAAAACGAAATTCACTCTCAGATTTGACAGTTGTTACCATGTGATCTGATATCTTTTAAATCAGTTGACAGTATTGTTAAAGAAGAAAGGCCGTGAATTATCCAAAAGAATTTTTAAATTCTCTGGATATACCAAGGATTCATTACAGATTCCATTATATTTACTTAACTCTGGTAAATAAACATGTTAGTCGTATAATAACCAAGCCTCAGCAAAGTGGCATATATCTTCTTCTTCTCAAGGTGCCCTCTCCATTACTGAAGGTTCGCTATAACTACAGCAAATTGCTCCCTATCTTGAGCTGTTCTTAGTATCGAATGTGTGTCCATACTGTCCAGTCTCTTACATTTTTCAGTCAGAAGCATTTTCTTCTTCTTGGACCTCTTCTTCCTTCCACTTTTCCTTCCATTATCAGTCGTAGGAAGTTGTATTTTTCTTCTCTATAAATATGTCCTAGATTACTCGTTTTTTTCGCTTTTTGGATTTTAAAATTTGGGAGTTCTCTCTCGATCCCCATTCTTCTCAGCACCGTGTTGTTGGTTACGTGCTCTGTCCAAGAGATCTTCAGCATCCTTCGAAAAACACACATCTCAAAGTTTCTTTACATCTTATACTTATGATTCCGAGAGTCCATGTTTCCACTCCGTAAGCAATATAAAATAAATGAATGTTTTTTACAAATTGGTATCGGATATCCAACGA